GTTTTCTTGTTTGTTGACCAATCGGATTGTAATGTCACAAGCAATATGGAAAAAGTGTGATTCGCAAATGTCGGCAGTCATATGGAACGAAGGAAGTACACATTTATCATTCATTCGATTTTGTCGGCTGCAAATCAAGTTAGTTGGAACAAGTATAGAAACTTCAGGAAGAATCGGCCACGTGGCCGATAATAGGGTACCCAATGTGATTGGCCAATTTAAAACTGTGCAACAATAATCTCTCAACATGTCCGATTGCCAGGACACGACCCTCAGCGACATCCGCAACTCCAGGTTATAAAACTCATCGAAGCTGTCGTAGGCAAGCGGTTTGCGTAGAATATGTGATTGGATAACGCACAAGGTGACGAGGGGCGTGCGCATGGAAACTTAAACCTCGCAGGGTTCACCTACGAGGATTTTTTTAGCATTCTTTATGTTTACACTGAATTCGCGTGAGGTGAAGGTGACCATTATGTCAAGCTATCGATCCGCCATCAGAGACTACTACAAGCGACAGCGTTGCCAAGCGAATACGATTCAGAAATGAAAGAACTTTTCATAGTTCGGTACATGATTCATGACTTAGTATTGATCCAAGAAATGTGGAGCTCATCGTCTCAAGGCAACAATCGAGCAATCGAACACCATCAAGGACTCCGACAAGGGACACCTAAATTTGAGTATTATAAAGAGCTGGCACTAGCGTATGTCAAGAAGAATGATGGTTGATTCCAGCAACTCGTTTTGGTACTTTCATGGAATCTGAAGGTGATCAAAGTCGACGGAGTCGCTTCGTTCGGACCATCTTACAATGGAAGGAGACGCACTCTGCGTTACGTTCTACAAAACAAAGACTGACCATTCCGGCACCAAAGTTCGTGATCCAAAACACCTGTATGCCAATCCCCTAGATCTATCCATTCGTGTGGTCCTGACTTTTGCTCTTCATTTTATATCAAACCGTGTTTGGTGAATGGGCTATTGTTGTTGGATCACATCAAAGGACACGACTTGTCAAAGGTTTGCGCACAATTATCAAATTGGATGGACTTGGCACGATTGAAGATATCGGTACACACTGTGCTCGCATAGGTGCACCGACGTTACTGTGCGTTGGGAGCACTGCTGGCCCGTCCATCATCAGGGTCTGCTTGCGTTGTGAGAGGTCGTTAGGAAATGTTGTTGAGCGGTACATGTACTACGAAAAGGCTGGTGATCAAGTTGTTGGACGCTCGGTTGCTTGCCTTGAAGAAGACCAACTTCGCTGTCCTGCCTCCGAACGTTACCTGCAGCTCCGACGCCACCGTAGATGGCATCATTGCACTGCTGTTCCCAGTACTATCAGCAATACCACAGCTTTGGCCACGTTCACCTGTTGCAACTGATCATGGAAGCCAGCAAAACATCCGTCGATACCGCCAGTACTGCTGTCGATACGTAGCGCCAGCGTTCAAGCGTTATTGGAGGAACGCGACCTTGCCACTGGAGTGTAACATTGGAACACTGGTGCTTGCCCCTAGAAGCAACGGTTATTCACTTGGAAAGTCGGTGGACCAATTGATTTTTGCGCATCATCCTACTTCCCCGCTGCCAATCTCTGAAGCCCCCGTGATACCGCTCCATGCGATGGTCTGGTAACAGTAGACCACTCAACCACTTATTAAACTTCTTGTTCAGTTACAATGTTCCTTGTCAGAACGTGCTCAGAGAGTAAAATGAAGTAAGTGACGAGAACGCCTAGGACTAATCAATCAATCGAATATTACGTCAGTGACATTCGAAATAACGTTGGCGACATTTGAATTGATTATCTACTTGGTCTTTTTTGACCAAGTGTTTTTCACCGGGTTCAAAAGAACCAAACAACGGCTTGGCACGTGGCTCAACGGTTAGAGCGACGGCATCGAAGCGATAGAGGAAGGGGCCCGGGGTTCGATCCCTGGCTGGGCAGTGCTAAGTATTTTTCAGTATTCAATTTTTATCACAGAAATACGCGAGTACGCTCCACGAAGTAGGCCAGCGCTCGATCCCTTCACCGCGGTCAGGTAGGTCCATCTCGTCAGCGGTCTTGCAAAGCATGGCAGTGTGTGTGTCCTTTCTTGACAAGAATATCGTAATGTCTGACACAGAACCAGGTACATGCTTGGACAAGTCGACAGCCACACCAGAATACGCCACAGAGCATTCAAGCTTCAAGCCATAAAGCTTGTG